TGTAGTCGTGGAAGCAGCTAGTGGATGAGGAGTGTATAAGTCGTTGAGGAGGCGTTGTCCTGCGGAATGCGGAATACCACGACGGAATTAGAATGAGAACGCGACAAAGGGATGGCGACGCAGACGCACGGTGGTTGGAACTCGAATACTCCGATACAGTGTAAAATAGGATAGGGTATGGGCGCAGTCGTATCAGTGCTGAGCTACAAACCGCTCGATAAGTATGACTCGGATCACAAGCCCAGCACATGAACGCACCCCTCGATAGCTTCACCAACAAAGGCGAAGCGAAAGCAAGAGCGCAGGCGAATAGGCAGGACTCCGAGAGACGTCGCAGTCGAGTCAGATTAGGGTCGATAATTAACGTTGGTGCGTTGGTTGGTAGGCCGATAACAATAAATGACAGAATCACTGCGTTTTTTGAAAAATCGCCCAGGTTGGGCGATTCTTGAGCGATACGGCGAAGGTCGACAATCGGACGAAAGCGACATCGAAAGTCAAGTAGCCGGAGTATTTTTTTCAATCGCCCAACTTCAGGCCGTTAGCGAATCTATCTGTCCCAACATCGGCTAATCATAGTGCTCACTCTGGCTTAAATCGGGATGTACGTGTCGCTCAGCAAGCTTCCGTTGGAATTTCACAGTAGCCCAGGATTATCTCAAGATGAGATTCATTACTAGTTTATCTCGACCTCTTCGACCTACTACAAAAGCTCAAGATGGGCTACGCGAGCGATAACACAAGCGAAACAAAAGACATGTGAGCGTTGTGGATCACCGGTCCTATCAATGATGCCGACGACTCTTCAAAAGATGGTTGTCGATGCACAACCGGCACCTTGCTTTTCTCTCTCGACCTCCACCTTCAAGTCCCCCTTCAAGGTTCTTCTCCAAGTCCCTCTTCAACAACTCCTCAAGTTATTTCTTTGCCTCTGCAGGGGCCCTTCCTCCCTTCAAGTTCCTTCAAGTTACTACTCAAGTTCAACGTGCTTACCTTTCTTTCACGCCCTCCTCCAAGTCGGCTATACATACCAAGCTACCAGCGGCCTTGCGAGAGACCCGGAGCCCGACGATGCGCGCTGTTTGGAGGAGTTGAATCCTAATTATCGCGCTCACGCGTTGTGCACTCTTATTTGATATTTATAATTATATTGCGTAGTGCTGCAGTGAATACATACTGTCTTGATATCCCCTGGACCCCTGCCTAATGAAATCATCTCTCGTCGAGGAAATCAAAAGTTGCCCGATTTGAGCCAAGGAATCGCCGGGGAATAGCCCGAGAATATATAGCTCCTTGGGCTCCTTTGGCTATTGCAAAAGTTTGAGCTTGGGTCAATTGGGCTATTGCAAACGTTAGGGGTTGGGCTAAAGTGTGCATATTGCATTATCCGACATCGGGATTAACTTGGGCGATATGACGACGACAAAGAGTAGCTAACGTGAGATGATCGAATCGCCCGACTCGGGCTTTCCGACTATTCCAAAAGCTATCTCAATGCTCGACGACCGATTGTTCAAAAAACGCAGTGAATGACGCCGAACAAAGTCGAATCCGTAGTCGATTCGTTGAAGAAGAGATGAAACCAATGAAGGAGACAGGAAAGTTGAAGGTGAAGTATCCCAAGAGTTGTAGGAGATGTAGAGAGCAGCGGGGCGATGAGTGAGTTGGATTGTGGTGGGCAGAGACAAGATCCACCGCCGCCTAATGCGGCTAGCCTCGGGATTGCGTTCCGGGGGCACGTGTGCAGGGTCGGCTTGTCCCGAACCTTCCCGAGCCCCCGAACCTTGAAGTTGCTGCGGGTGCCTGTTTTGAGTTTGAGGGCTTCGTTGTTTTCCTTCACTGAGCTTCACCTATTGCGCGGCGACCGCTTTCTCGGAGGCCGTCTGTCTGGCGCCGGACTCATTCCGGCTCGAGCCCGTCCGAGTCTGACTGCAGGGCTTAATCGGTTGCGGCTAAGTTCTTTTGGCGACTATTCTCAGCTTCGAAACTCAACCCACCAAACCCCCCTATAGCACACGGAGTGCGCCTGCAACAAATGCTGTTGACCTCGCGACGTCTGGAGCCAGGTGGTCCCCGTTCGATCCGGGGTCGGGTCATGGTGAAGGGTTGTCGCATCTTTTTATTTCGATCTCGCTCGGTTTCACTTCTCGATCGACTCTCCAGCTGGCTCTCCCATTCTTGGCTTTCCAGGCTGGCTCTCCGCACCAGTCAAGCGACATGAATGCCAATTTTACGGAGTTGCTCACCCAAATTCGGGCTCACATGCAAGCTGTGCAGCCACCCGATAGCACATGCGTGCGCCTGCGAACGATAGCCAAGGAATTTTGAGCTTAAAAGCAGGATGTCCCCGTTCGATTCGGGGTTGGGTGATCCGCACCGACTTCTGACCATTAAATTTTTTCTCCTCCCATGGCACCTGAATGACCCTTTATTCCAGGTGCGTGATATTTCAAGCTGCTTTCTGGTTTTGAATTTTGTCGACGTGGGTGAAATTTTATTCAAATTTACGCACATAAACCCATCGCTTATGCCCACACACATCGGGTTCACCTACGACCCAGGCAGCCACCCGGTAGCACATGGAGTGCGCCTGCGACAAATTGTTGAACCGGATAATGTGATGTTTGGAAGCAGGACGTCCCCGTTCGATCCGGGGTCGGGTCATGAAGCGAAGCTTCGAAGGGTTGTCGCATCTTTCTATTTCAATCTCGCTCGGTCGATCGACTCTCCAGCTGGCTCTCCCATTAATATTCTTGGCTTTCCAGGCTGGCTCTCGCTTCTCTCAAGGCGTTCCAAGGCTGCCCGAGGGTGCAAGCCTAGCCTGAGGTCTTCAGATCTCGGATCGTGCCCGCGATCAACAGCACGTGCACATGTGATAGCCGATGATTCCTCCTTTTGGAACCTGTTTGCAGCGAACGAACCGACACAGTTCTAAGGTACGGGCTCTCCGTTCGATAAAAACAAAACTGTACTATGGTAATAATTTACGATGAACAATGAGTACATACAAAATATTTTCATGGGACCCCCCATGTAGCAAGAAATCCGCAAGTATATTCTGCATAGCACAAAAAGGTGTTCTGTTGCCGTACACAAAGACAGAGAGCATTCACCCAAAGCTTCCTAGGATACATATGTCACAGAAATGTATGTACTAGCAGTCTACACTCAGTTTATACGCCTTAACTTTGTTCGTTCTGTTGTCCGCTCACGGTGGTTGCGCAGAAGAGCTTCGGGGCACCGTGAAGTAGCTAGGGTCTGGTGGTTAGAGTTCCGTGCGGTTCTGGGACCCGTACGGACGCGCACAGGACGCGACGCGCGCAGGCGGTTGCTTCAAGCAAGCTTCAAGGTTGCTTGCCGGCTGTTGATTGTTTGTGCGCGAAACAAGACCAAATATTTTGGCCCCCCCTCTAAGCACGTGTTGTTGATCGCGGGCACGATCCGAGATCTGAAGACCTCTTGCGAGGGTGAACGAGCAAAATTGTCAACCATCATTCAATGTACGTAGGTCAGAAATCCGTACAGCATCTACATCTACATTAGTCTGAAGCGAGGCATTGAATTGACTTCACGAAGTCAAGATAGTCGTAGGGTGTACCCGCAGGCACACATACGAAATACGTGTAAATTTTGGAAGGTCATCATCTGAGTTATGTACTTTGTTCGAAGAACCGGTTTGTATTTCACACGGGCCCCACAGCAGGTAAAACCTCAGGAAAATTGTGTTGTGAGCTCTCAAAATTGAACGGACAGGGCACTGAAAAAATGCTGATTGAAAGGTAAGACTCCAACCGTCCCTTGATAGGTAAATATACAGGCTGAAAAAAGCAGGCTTGCTGCAAGTTGTCCCAAGCCGCTGCAAGACTTGGGACGGCTTGGGACGCCTTGTGAGTCATCCCCGTGCCTTGTGTCGGCGTGTGTGCACTTACAAGATATGGCTGGATGCCTTACAACGACTTAAAAGTCCTCTCAAGGTCTCAAGACGTCTCAGACCGCTGCAAGTCAGCTGGCTTTTTTCCGACATAACCGTTTTCGCTTCCAGGTGCCTCATACATGTATGTTCCTTTCAAGCTCTGTTTTTAGTCCGACTCTGACTCACAAAGTGGACTTCAACACCAGCCATCCAGCCACCTGATAGCACATGGAGTGCGCCTGAGACATGGTTTGATATTAGGATGTCTCCGTTCGATTCGGGGTCGGGTCATGGAGCGTTCAGCAGTCGTTCTATTTCTTCAACTTTTAATCTTTTAATTTTCTTACATTTTGGTTGACTGTCCACGTGCACTGCAGGTTTACTTCTTGCGTTTTGGTTGACTGTCCGCTGCGGGTTTACGTTCGGCCACAACTTTGAACTTTGGAATGGAGCCACCCGGTAGCACGTGGAGTGCGCCTGCAAGAAATAGCTGGCTCAGTATTTGGAAACAGGAAGTTCCCGTTCGATTCGGGGTCGGGTCATGATGCATGAAGCGAACGGTTGTCGCATCTTTTTATTTCGATCTCGCTCGGTCGATCGACTCTCCAGCTGGCTCCCATAATCCCATTCTTGGCTTTCCAGGCTGGCTCTCGCGGTTATGCATCCTCCTCCTCCTCCTCCTCCTCCTCCTCCTCCTCCTCCTCCTCCTCCTCCTCCCCACCAGCAGCCACCAGTTAAGCGACATGAATGCCAATTTTACGGAGTTGCTCACACCCGTCGGGCTCACATGCAAGCCAGCTGTCCAACCACCCGAAAGCACGTGGAGTGCGCCTGAGACTAATACCGGAGTAGCAATGGTTTGATATCAGGAGGTCTCCGTTCGATCCGGGGTCGGGTCATGATGGAAGGGATTGATTGACGTATCTTTTTATCTCTCCCTCAGGCTTTATGTAGCCCAATGCCATCCAGGTTTGTTTTCCACTACAGCATGCCGACGGCCGTCACCGTGTCCTCAACACCAGTGACGTGCCATGCCAATTTTACGGAGTTGCTCACCCAAATTCGGCTCATCTGCAAGCTGTCCAACCACCCGATAGCACATGGAGTGCGCCTGCGAACAATTGCTGTTCAACGATCGACATGATGTTTGAAAGCAGGAGCCCCCGATCGATCCGGGGTCGGGTGATAAGGTCTATTGCTGTACCTTTTTCTTTCCGTCTCAATGTGGCGTTGGTTGACTTTCCACCGCAAACTTTAGGTCTTCGAGTCCTCGACGCCGGCAGGACTCTGCCACATGCAAGCGACCAGCTAAGCGACATAAATGCCAATTTTACAGAGTTGCTCACACATACGACCCTGATTCGAGTCATCCAACCACCCGGTAGCACCTGGAGTGCGCCTGAGACTAATACCGGAGTAGCAATGGTTTGATATCAGGAGGCCTCCGTTCGATTCGGGGTCGGGTCATGATGGAAGGGATTAATATTGATTGATGTATCTTTTTATCTCTCCCTCAGGCCTTATGTAGCCCAATGCCATCCAGGGTTGTTTTCCACTACAGCATGCCGACGGCCGTCACCGTGTCCTCAACACCAGTGACGCGCCATGCCAATTTTACGGAGTTGCTCACACAAATTCGGCTCATCTGCAAGCTGTCCAACCACCCGATAGCACGCGGAGTGCGCCTGCGACAAATCGTTGAACCGGATAACATGATGTTTGGAAGCAGGAGGTCCACGTTCGACCCGGGGTCGGGTGATATTCCCAATGCAATGACGACTTTTTATTTCCCCCTTGATATTATTGGTTGACTTCTCATTGTGATATTGGTTGACTTCTCATTGCAATGTTATGCAGATGTTAGGCTTACTCTCCTCGACTCCTCGACAATAATCAGTCAATCACAATTGGATCGCATTTCACAGGTTCGTGCTCACAAATGAGGTCGAAGTACAATTGCAAAAATTCGGTTCGTTTGAATGCAGAAGGTCCCCGTTCGAACCGGGGTCGTCAAATGTTCTGCATCTTTTATTTCTCTTAGTTGACTTTCCATTACGGTCGTGTCCTCAAGAAAACTGGCAGGCGTCCAAGCGCGACTTCAAACCAAGTTGTGCACACGTCTCGGGCTCACCTACAAGCTTGAACTTCAGAACTTGAAGCTATCCATCCACCCGATAGCACATGCGTGCGCCAGCTAATAATGCACTGAAACAACCCATGCATTTGCAAGCAGGACGTCCCCGTTCGACCCGGGGTCGGGTGATAAATCAATCGCCATGTCTTCTTCTTTCCGTCTCAATGTAGCGTTGGTTGACTTTCCGCTGCAGGTCTTCGTTGAGCCCTCAGCAGCGTCAGGATACTGCAATGTTCAACCGATCGACGAGTGTCGTCAGAATGGATTAGTCCACACAAATCTCATTAGTCCACACAAATCTACAACTCATCCAGCTACTACATAGCACATGGAGTGCACCTGCAAAAAATAGCTCTCCATATTCTCTTGGTTGACTTTCCGGCGTTTCCGCAGGGTGTGATTTTTGGGGTCCTCAACGGCAGCAGGGCTTTACGTTCGGCATATCAAATGCAATTGCCGGATTCGTGCACACAAATTGGACTCACCTAACACCCACTCGATAACGCATGCGCGCCTTTTATATACTCAGGAGGTCCCCATTTGACCCGGGGTCGTGATAAATCCTCTTATCTGCTATATCTTTTCAATCTACGTCTCAACGGTATCTGGGTCCGCAATCCTCTGCAGCGCTGACTTGCTCTCCGCGTTTGCGACAAGTCACAATTGTACACAGGAGTTGGCCTCACCTACAGGCCATCCAACCACCCGATAGCACATGCGTGCGCCAGCTAATAATGCATTGAAACAACCCACGCATTTGCAAGCAGGAGGTCTCCGTTCGATTCGGGGTCGGGTGATGTAGGCGTTCAGCAATCCTTTTTTTTTATCTCTCTCGCTGTTATGTTGGTTGACTTTCCCTGCAGGGTGGGATTTTAGTCCTCAAATGTTGCCAGTCAAGCAACATGCCTATATATCCCAGGTTTCTGCCCACGAATCGGGCTCGCCTACAGCCGAGACAGCCACCCGATAGCACACGAAATACGCCTGCAAAAAAACAATTGTAAGGCAGAGCGTTTGAAAACAGGGCGATTCCGTTCGGTTCCGTTTAAATTCGATTCGGGGTCCGGTGATACTTGACCTGTGCGTGCAGCATTTTTTTTGTTTTCTCTCTCGATGGTAATTATCTTGGTTGATTTCCCACCGCAGATTTTGGAGCTTGTAGTCCTCAACGGCGCCAGAACTTTGCAACGTTCAAGCAAGGGGTATGGCAATGTGCCCTACGGGGTTGTGCACACAGATTGCGATCACCTAAAAATCACACACCCATCCGGCAGAACATGGAGTGGGACTGAGATTTCTTCCACCGTCATGTCATATTCTTCAACTCAGGAGGCCCACATTCGATTCGGGGTCGGCTGATATCCTCCTACTACTTCCTGCGTCTTTACATTTCTATCGTAATCCTGGTTGACCTTTTGCTGCATTGTAACACCGCTTCGTCAACAACAGCAGCGGCGGATGAGACTGATACACCCACAGCGGAACGAAAATAAAAATATTCTCCTTTCCAACATACGTCCCTTCCTCGAATCGACCGAGCGCCTGCATCCATGTGGTTTATGTCTTTCAACCTCGAGCCGGACCAGCTAGGGGGACTGGGACGGTAATCTTTCGACTTGCCAACTGGAACTCAACCGTGGGACTCTTTCAGATCTTCAACGCTGACATGGAGATTTGCGATTGCAATCAACCAATTGATCTCTCGCCAGTCTGGCTCTCACTACGGGACACACCCACGATGCACTCAATCCGTTCAGTCTGAATTTTGAACTCCCAGCATCTCGTCCGGGTTGATCAACTACATGTAGTACATGGTCGCCGGAAGTTGCGGGTTTTTGCCTCAAACAAGAAACGAGGATTGTGTACCGCAGAGTTTTTAGACAATTAAATGGAAAGACCCAGTCGCGGTGGCTCGCGCCCGCCTTAGTTACCGTAGAGCTTTGGAATTTAGAAAGCACCGGCAGTGTCGTTTTTGCATTCCTTCCCGTAAGCTTCTTGTGAACAGATAAAAAAGACAGGCCGGGCAAGCGTATCATAGGCAGACCTGAACTGAACTTGGTCTAAAGGCAAGCGTGCGGAACGCTCGTTCGAATCGAGCCTACGTAGGCCATAGAAAGAACCTGAACCTCGTTTTCTCATCGGTTGGTTTTATTTATTTTATTTTTCTGTTGTACAAGCAATAAGGGTACGTTCCTCGCCTGAATCGTATGCTACAATCCTCCAAAGCGCCCCGATCCGCCGTAAGTAAGGCGGTAAATTAATATAATCCTCAGTCAGCTACATACTCCGCATTTAACGTCCATCCGCATGACGACGGACCGCATCGTACACCTGCTTTCCTTCCGTCCTCCTCCCTCCATTGCGATTAATACTAACACTCTATCACTGTATCACAAAAACACCAGCCCATCACACGAACACGACACATTAGTACCACCCACTCGGCGCCTTCCACATCCCCGTCTCCGGGTCCGTCCCCCCGTCCGTCCCCGCCTCCACGTCGCCCACCCGCCGCGGCGCGTTGGCATTCAGCGCAAGTGGAATCGGTGCAGCACCCATTCGTATGCGCTCGCGCTCCGCCGTGCGCATACGGCGCGGCACGGATCGTGGGGCGGGTGTGAAGCGGTCGTCTGCGGCGTGGGAGGCATTAGGGGGGTAGACGGGGTCGAAGACGACGCCAGATTCGAGTTGTTGGCGTTGGCCCTGTAGTGCAGTTATTTAGCAAACGAGGGGAAAAGGCCAAAGGACGAGGCGTACCTGAGATGCGGCGTGGAACGAGGGATGTAAAGAGGGATTATTAGGGTGGAGGACGCCGTCAGCGGCTTTGCGGTGGAGGTTGAGCATGAGGCGGGACATGAGGGTTACGGACATGCTGTGGTTGGGTCAGTAAATGGGTAAAACGAAGGAGAAGGGAATCGAAAGAAGAGGAGGGTTGTGTTTTTCAACATGGGATGGTGATGGAACCGAAAGGAAGGGTTCGGAAATGGAATTCAACTCACCAGCTAGCGAACGTCGCCAATCCGCCAGCCAGTATAGGCTACACAAATTCAATCAGCCCAACCCCACGCAGTAAATTTAGTCAACGCACCCCGCCGAGATAAAACGAGAGGATGTTGCAGAGGTTCGAGAACGCTATCGCACTGACGTAGCGCGTAAGTTTTGCATCATTCGAGGTAAAGCCCATTTGACTCACGCGAAATATAGGGCACCTGAAGGGGAGAACAGTGTCAGATTAGTATTCACTATCGACAGGCCAAAAAAAAAAACGGGAGCAGCGAGGAGACGGGGAAAAAACACCAAAAAAAACCTCGGTCGCACGCGGGCAAGGCTAGGACCGGACGAAGATAGCAATGGAAAAACGGACGGGGCTCGTGCTCAACCGAACGCAAAAGGAGAGCGAAAAAGATAAAGGGACAGAGACACGCACCATCTTTCAAAATAACCGTCTGGATCCCCATCGTCATGTACCCCGCATTCCTCTTCCACGTCGAATACGTCTTGCCGAGGATGAGCACGAAGACGAGCGTGTCGAACGCGAAGAGGGCTTCCCAGGAGCCGGCGAGTCCTGTGTTGGGAGGGAGATTAGATTATATTGTTCGGATTCGTGAGCGTTAGGTCAGGGATTTCGATGGGGGCCAGTCGCAAAGGGTGGGGAATGGGATAATGCGGATGGCAAATGCGGGGGCAAAGGGATGGGAAGGGAAAAATATGAAAAGATTTTAAGAAAAGGGCACGCACGGAACGCCGTGCTCTGCGCGATGCTGATGTGGCAACCGGAGAATCCGATGATGGGAGTGGCTTGTTGGTCTTGGGTCGCCCACTGGCGCGGCAACGAGATAAATTGAGGCGAAGGCGGAGAACAGCAGCAAGATACGCACGAATACGACACCGAGTAGGGGAATCGAGAATAATAGCACGAGGAATAGGACGCGGTAGCTGCGCGCGTAAAGTGCGAAGACGCGCAGGAGCATCACGACTTTGGGGCGGGGCGGGGGTTAGAATTCGGGGATGCAGTTATCTGCGGGCACACGCACCTGAGACGATGAGCTGCG